CGCGGCCCAGAGTCGCCTTTCAAAATTTTGCACAGGTAGCCACGGCAGATGCCGAGGAGCTGCTCACCGCCGACCAGAGAGTCCTGGCCCCATCGGGTGTCGCGACCGCCCCCAGTGAGGCTTCGGGCGCGGTCGACCCTGTGACTCCGCACAGAGAAGGCCCTGCCTTCCTTCCACGTGCCAAGCGTAGGAGAGTTGGTGGTCGGAACAACAGGCCCACTCGGGATTCCGAAACTATTCTTGCCTCGGCAGTGCTTTCCCAGGGAGTTGTCACCGCGGAGGCCGCGCGAGGCCACATATTATGGGTCTCCTCGGGGCAAGTCGTGCTGTGCGTCTCCTGCGGTTTTTATAGTACTGGCACCGCTGGCCACCTTCAGATCGACTGCGTGACCAGTGAAGATCGCGCGATGTCATAGCAAGCCCAGCGAAACCGCAGATTCTTTCTTGTAGGCACCCTGCAGACGAAGGGAGAGCCGATAGTCAAGCCATTCCTGGCCCGAGGCCCTTGGTGGCCACGGACCCAGAAACCCGTTGGGTTCGACTCCTTGTGGAGCCGTCGTCTTTTTCCCCTGGCACTGTCGCGGCCCCAGGTCCTCCTGGCGACGCTCGAACTTCTTGAGCCCGGTGCCTTCTGACACAAAAATGTTGCGCCTCGTGTGCCGAGGGCCGTGATAAGGTGGGTCCAGTCATGCTCCTCGAGGCCTGGACGACGGCATATGCGGCGCCTCTTCCCAAGGTGGTCGTCTGTGCACTGCGCGGCGCTTTCCCTGCAGTGTCTTATCCTGTTCAGACCTCCCTCTCCTCCTCCTCCTCCTCCTCCTCCTCCTCCTCCTCCTCCTCCTCCTCCTCCTCCTCCTCCTCCTCCTCCTCCTCCACATTGTTCGCGGCTCCATTGGGAGTTCCGCCGAAAGCCCCAGTGGCCGCGTCCGCATGCGCCCTCCCCGCCCACCGCATGCCCATTTTGGCACACCCTTCACACGGTCCGTGGCCCCATAGGGAGGTCCACCGAAAGCCCCAGTGGCCGCGTCCGCATCCGTCCTCCCCGCCCACCGCGTGTACAGTCTGGCACACCCCTCACACGGCTCGTGGCCCATAGCGAGCTCCACCGAAGGCTCCAGTGGCCGCGTCCGCATGCGCCCTCCCCGCCCTCCGCATGCCCATTCTGGCACACCCCTCACACGGCTCGTGGCCCCACAGGGAACTCCACCGAAGGCCCCAGTGGCCGCGTCCGCACGCGCCCTCCCCGCCCACCGCATGCCCATTTTGGCATACACACCCATCACACGGTTCGTGGCCCCAGAGGATGCTCCACCGAAGGCCCCAGTGGCCGCGTCCGCATGCGCCTTCCCCGCCCACCGCATGCCCATTCTGGCACACCCCTCGCACGGTTCGCGGCCCCACAGAGAGCTCCACCGAAAGCCCCAGTGGCCGCGTCCGCATGCGCCTTCCCCGCCCTCCGCATGCCCATTTTGGCACACCTCTCACACGTTTCGTGGCCCCACAGGGAGGTCCACCGAAGGCCCCAGTGGCCGCGTCCGCATGCGCCTTCCCCGCACAACGCATGCCCATTTCGGCATACCCATCACACGGTCCGTGGCCCCATAGGGAGGTCCTCCGAAAGCCCCAGTGGCCGCGTCCGCATGCGCCTTCCCCGCCCACCGCGTGTACAGTCTGGCACACCCCTCACATTGTTCGCGGCTCCATAGGGAGTTCCGCCGAAAGCCCCAGTGGCCGCGTCTGCATGCGCCTTCCCCGCCCACCGCATGCTCATTTTGGCACACCCATCACACGGTTCGTGGCCCCATAGGGAGCTCCACCGAAGGCCCCAATGGCCGCGTCCGCATGCGCCCTCCCCGCCCACCGCATGCCCATGTCGGCACACCCCTCACACGGCTCATGGCCCCATATGGAGCTCCACCGAGGGCTCCAGTGGGAGGGTTCGCATGGACCACCTCGGCACACCCCTCACACGGTTCATGGCCCCATAGGGAGCTCTACCGCAGTTTCCAGCGGGAGGGTTCGCATGACACCACCGCGCCCAATCCGGCACACCCCTCACATTGTTCGCGGCTCCATAGGGAGTTCCGCCGTGGCCCCA